CAATGAATGCAATAAAGGACTTCAAAACACGACAATAGTAAATCCAAAATGGCTACCATAATATAATCTTGCTCTCATTGAAATAGCTGCTCATGCCATCAAATATAACAAAAACAAAACAAAACAGGACAAAACTCAACCCAACAAAATAATGAAAATGACACAGGACTTCAAAACAAGATAATAGGGAATTAACAATGGCTACCTTCTTCAGAAGGAGATTCCCCCCCCCTAGATGCCACACTGCATGCTACTATCCTCTGAATAGATGATCAGACCACTGGTCCTAGAACTGCAAGGTCAGTGAGACACCAAAACACTACAAGCATCAAATTACATTTCACCCTGACAGCTATCATCTCATCCTGTGTTTCTCCGGATCAGTCAGTCACTTATGGGATAGCAGTGGGGGGACTGGCTCTTCTTGTTTGCCAGCCCACATGCTGGAAGGGGCTAGGGTCTGGCTGTCCCTCTACCAGCAGTGGCCTGCACATGGCGCTGATTCACAGGGAGGGCTTACTTCTTGGTAAGCCCTTGTTCTCTGCCCCCACAGTCTGCAGATGGTGCTGATTCACGGGGAAAAGTTGGGGTCTCGCTGTCCCCCTGCCAGCCGTGGACTGCACATGGTGCTGGTTTGCAGGGAGGTCTTGCTTTTTGGTGAATCCTTATTCTTTCCCTCTGAAGTCTGTGAATGGGGCTTACTCAATGGGGAAAGGATTGGATCTGGCTGTTTCCCGTCTGGCAGTGGCCCACGCATGGAGCTGGTTTGTAGGGAGGGCTTGCTTCTTGGTGAGTCCTGGTTCTCTCCCCACTGCGGTCTCATGCTTTTCTTTTTGATTAATGGTTGAAAGCATTGAACATACCATATTTTATTTATCTGTCCATTTGTTGATGCCACTATAATTAACTTCATGTCTTGGCTATTGTGAGTAGTGCTGCAGTGAGGATGAAGGTGCAGATATGTCAATATACTGATTTAAATTCCACTGGATATATATCCAGAAAGGGGATTGCTGGATCATATGATTGGTCTATTTTACTTTTAATGTCCATTAATATTTGTTTTATATATTTGGGAGCACTGGTATGTGTTGTATATGATTGACCTATTTTATTTTTTAAAATATATTTTATTTTAAAGAGAAAAAACCCTCAGACTGGGGATTTAGCTCAGTGGCATGAGTGCTTGCCTCAGGAAAAAAAAGAGAAAAACCTCCAAATTTCAAAACATAATAAGTAGGGGCAACAATGGTATATATATTGTTTATTATATATATATATATATATATGCATATATATTGTTTCTTTCAACTTCTCACACTGGTGGACAATATGATGTTTACATGTCTGGTTTATTTCACTTATGAGTATGGTCTCAAGTTGTAGCCATTTACCTATAGGTCTCCAGTTTACCCTTTATGGTCAAATACTACTCCATTGTATACAAATACATCTCTTTTATCCATTGCTCAGTTAATGCACAGTTAGGTTGTTTCCAAGATTTGGCTATTATAAATTGCACTGTTATAAACGTGGGTACACATATATCACTGTGGTATGATGTTTTTAATTTTGCAAAGATACTCAGAAGGGGAATAGCTGGGTTAAAGGGGCCCTCCAATTCGAGTTTTTTGAGGAATATCCATAGTGATTTCCATAGTGGTTGCACTGGTCTACATTACCACCAACAGTGGAGAAGTGTTCCTTTCCCCCCATAATCCCTCCACCATTTGTTAGCTGATTTCTTGATGGCAGCTGTTCTTTTTGAGGTTAGGTGCAATCTCAATGTTGTTTTAATTTGCATCTCTTGAATGACCAGTGATGCTGAACATTTTTTCACATATTTATTTGCTGTTTGTATTTTTTTCATCTGAGAAGTGTGTATTCATTTCTATTCCCCATTTTCAGATTGGGTCTTTAAATCTGGGAGGATTGATTTTTGTTTTTTAGTTTTTTCTATGTTCTCAATAGTAATCTGAGGAGAAGTTATTGTGTCCCATATAGTGAGTTGTCTCTTCACTCTGTTGGTGGTTTCTCTTGCTCTGCGAAAGTTTTTCAGTAGGGTGAGATCCCAGTTGTTGATTCTTTGTGATAGTTCCTGTGAAATTGGGATTTTGTTCATAAAGTCTTTGCCTACATTAATATCTTCAAGAGTTTTACCTACTATATCTTACAGAAGACTTAATTTTCTGTTTTAATACTTAGATCTTTAATCCATTCTGAATTTAGTTTAGTATAGTGAAAGATGGGTGACTGGTCTGTTTTTAGATTTTTAGGAACCATTATATATTTCCTAATAACTATTATTTTATATCCCTACTAACAAACTGTAAGAATTTCCTTTTCTGCAGTCTCACCAGTATTTATTATTTCTTATTATTTGGCAGTACCCATACCCTATTACACAATTGTTGTGCTGTTCAGTTTTGCTCTGTTTCCTGCTGATTCATACATCTTGTTTTGCTTTGTTAATATCTGTGTATCTAAAGAAGCAGTCATCTCTTCTGATTTTATAGAGGGGTTTTCATAGGAGAAAGTTTTTTTTACCTATCTATGCATCTCAAGGGCTTGTTTCATTAGGGCATGTGGGTTAGAGTTCTAGATAGGTGCAGTAGTGCGATCTCCATGCACTTTTTCATCCATAGCAACATCGGTGACTCCTGCAAATGCTTCAGTTGTGCAACTACTTCACTGGGTCAAAAGCTACCTCCCTACTGAGACAGCAATATCCACTTTATTCTGTGGGTTCACAATGCAACTCTTTCCCGGGCAATATGCACCCTCCAAGCCCTGCCATGCTTGGGCTGTGGCTGTACTAATGGACCCAGACTCCAAGAAACAAGGGAAAGGGTCTTGTAGCCACTTTTTATGTGCAGTAGTGGTACAATCTTTAAGATGGGGACGTGTAATGGTTAGGGGTCCCAATATGGTACGGTGCAGAAGCAGCCTGGGTCACAGTAGGAGAAACACTGTGAGTTCCTTCCTTGGTGCAGTGTAAATGTGTGCACTCCAAGTCGCTCCCTCTGGGCTCAGGGACAGTGAGCACTGCAGCATTCTTCAGAAGAAATACTTTAGATACCCATTGTTTCAAGGCAGTCTTCTGGGTGCCTCACCTTTAAGTTTTCTTTGGGAGATGGCACACTTGACTCCAAGATGTTCCTAACCTCCCTTTTTGGCTGAGTTGTCTGGTTGCCTGCTTCTGCTAAGGTCTTCCAAGGTCTCTGAATTGCTGATGCCTCCAGTCTTGTTTGGTGAAGTCTGCTGGGGTTTGACAGAGTCATCTTGGCTCAGCTCACCAGCTGTTACGGTTGAGTAGGCCAACTCAATGTAGCTTCTTGTGCATGACAAGGGAAGAATTGCTAATCATACACCTGATAGTAAGTAGTGAGTTTATTGACGATTTGGGAGTGACAGCAGCAGGAATGGGCAGAAGGGAGGAGTGAGGGAAAAAAGAGCTAACTTTTATATTTGATTTGATTTGATTGTTTTATTTTCAGGATTTCAGGCACCTTTATTTATGGCAGATGTTTTTGGCTGGTGGGGGGTGGGTTGCCTCTGAAGTCTGATGTTTAAGGAAGCCGACTCCTCCTAAGTCTCCACTATCCTTTCATTCATGAGCTGCTCTATCACTTCCACTGGCCATTCATGAGGCTTGAAAGTGTCCCGCATGCAGGCTTCTGCTGGCCTGGCTTGGGCAACTTTAAGGTCTCACCGATCTGCCCGATTGCAGGACTGTGTAGCTGGAGAACAATGTTGGCAAATTTATTACAGAAAAATCTGACTGTGTTGTGTTCCTCATATAATTTATAAATAGGAAAAATACTTAATATTAACTTTGCAATGTAGACAAGCCTGGTGATACAGGAAACTTAAAAAGTACAGTTTTAATTGAGGATTTCCTTTTAGGAAGGACCACTCCAGCCCTCAACTGTTTCCATCATGCACATTTCTGTCCTATGAAATCGCTCTGCGGTGACAACCACATGGCTCACCTTCTAGGTCATAGGTGCTGGTTTTGGCCCAGCACCGCTGATGTTGCATTTCTGAGTGGCAAGCCTCTCTCATCTTCTGTCATCACTGATGAAATTGTTACTCTGCAAGGATTTAGAAAAGTAAGAATATTTTTTTAAAAACTTGAGCCTACTACCTGCCACTCACTTGTCATATTCTAGCCAAACGACTGGCATATTCCATAGCTCTTTTTCTTTTTTCCAATCAGCAGCTGAAAGAAAGGATGGAGTAGTTGTTTCAAAATCCTGCCAGATTTTTTTATGGCAACCACTGCAGATGAACAATGTAGGCTGCTACTGAACTATTAGAATCTCATGCAAAACTTGTAATGAGTACATTAGGCTATTTGGTTATTTTCAGCTTTTAAAAAATGCTAACACAGCTTTTAAAAAATGCTAAAATCCCACACAATTAAGTCTGAAGCCATGGTTCAGTTCGGAGTTTTGGCAACCGAGTAATGATAGACGTTACTGAATAAACAACTTTTAAATGTTTTAGCCTTTTGAAAAGTACACTATTGCCAATACACTAGTTTTAGTTCGACAGTCATTTTGTGCTGAAAATGAAAATGAAAGAAGCCTAGACCCTACAAATATACTTCACTAGGTCTAACAATAATTGAAGGATTTACCACTTATCTAATAAAAAGTTTTACAGCAACTTTTACGAAACAGCAGCTACTACAAAATGATGGCAGAAGAAATGACTTCACAAAAATGCACTAAAAAAAATGACAGTTTTATGTAGGAACTGCCGGTTTTAGTGTTTAATAATGAAGAGTACAACTGACCAAGTTCCAGCATGTGAAGATACCATGTTTGAGAAACTGGGGGATAAACTATGTAGGGTGTGGTAAGAATGCACACTTTTTAATATAAAATCCCTCTACACATAGTACTTAGTGGTGAAAAGTCATTTGATCTTCTCTTGAAAAAATGATAATCTGTCAGTGCAATTTATCAGCAGCCTTCAACTTTTTTGTGTGGCAGGTATCTTGTTTTCACCTTTCAGTTCCTCTATCCCAGCCTGTGTCATGTGATCGCCATGATCTCCAGATTACCAATGGGACTACTCATATCATCAATACTTCTGGGCAAACAGAGAGTAAAATTTTTCTTCTATCTGCTGCAAGAGGGTCTCCACCACTGAGGTGAGGTCTTATATAGTCTTGGCTCCCACTTGGCTGCAAAGTCTCCCACAGTCAGCTACACTTCTGTTTGTTCATGCCAACATTCCCATTACTGCTTCTCCTAATTTTATTTTAAGCAACAACTACAATTATATTTATTTGTGGTGTACAGCATGACGTTTTGCTGTATGCGTACACTAGATTGTGGAATGACTAAATCAAGTTACTCTATTTTCTTTATGTACGCATTCACTTGACATAGCTTTATCTATCCTTTCATCTTTCACATTTCATAATTTCTTTTTCTTTTTTTTGTCTTTATCATTTTTATCGGTACCAGGGATCGAACTCACGACCGCCTGCTTGCAAGGCAGGTGCTTATGCCGCTGAGCTAAATCCCTAGCCCCTCATAATTTCTTTTGAGATAGGAGAGTAGGGCATGGCAAAGTTAGCTGATGAAGTGGGTGTGATCTGTTAGTTACAAGATCTTGGACACATGTGCAGAACAATTCCCAAAGTCTTGCATGTGGACTTCCTGAGACAACTCAAGCAAGGTTTCAATAGGGTGGTCTACAGGTCAGCCTGAGGCATGGGATCCCAGCACAACCTCTAAGGCCCAGTTATGTAGACATTGTCCTCGGGATCTGGACAGTAGAAAAGGAGAGCCCAGCAGTGAAGAGCATGCTATAGTAACTCCACGATAGTGCACGCTGTGTTTCCCAGATACAGTGTACTTTTATTCCTGTTTTCACCCTCTTTTTCTTTTTCACTCAACCTAAACTCACGCTGCAGGGGCAGTTTCTCCCACACTCTTCACTTTTACTTCCTGGAATAATTTTTGTTACAGATTAGAGAAGAATCTGGAATCTAACTCCAGAAAGAGTGACACACAACCAAGAATATGGTGGTATGTAATTGTTGGGCCACTTTCAAAAGCTTTGGGAAGTGTTTTGTATGACAATGTTAAGTTTTTGTTTGTGATATCTCTTAATAAGTCCTTACCTAAGTGATATAACTCTGGCCTGCAAATTCGCAGAGGTTTTCATTGTAGCCTTCCCATGTGGAGAAGGCTGCACATGAAGATTGAATGGACTAATGTGTATTTAGTAAAGCACTATGTATAGGGAGCCTTCAATAAATATTAGTTAATATGTAACCCAAGACTCCAGTCCTCAGAGAGTGAGTGTAAATGGGTCTCCTCCATGGGGCCACCAGAACTGAAGGGAAGCTCGAAGCATCAGCAGGTGTCCTCAGCGCAGTAGCATTACCGGTGCCTCACTCAGCTGCCCTCTTGGCTCCCAGAGTTCCCTTAGAGTTTGGCAGGATCTGTTAATAGGAACTAAAATAAGAATAGACAATGAACCAGGACTTTGGACCAAAGTGATTTCCTCAGGCAACATGGAATACAGTCCACTCCCTCCTAAAGGCAGTTGCTGGCCGTACAAAACTCGTGAGGTTTAAGGAACATAAAATGCAAAATAACCAGTTTTTCTCTCTAAAACCCCATTTCCTTTAAACTAGGTTGGAAGCTGGGTGTAGTAGCACACACCTGTAATCCCAGCGCTTGGGAGGCTGAGGCAGGAGGATGGCCGTGAGTTTGAGACCACCCTGGGCTACAAAGTGAGTTCAAGCCCAGCCTGAACTGCAGAGTGAGACCTTGTTTCAAAAAAGACAAAGCAAAATAAAATAAATAAACAAAAATAAACTGGATTAGAGAGCTTAAATTCCATTTTGTCATTTTAAATCCACAGAGCCACCCATGATAGGTGGCTACTGGACAACTGAGAAATTCCTGTGCTCTGCTTATCTGTAAGTGACTCTGGATCGAGAGACCAAGCAGCCACCAATTTAGGACCCTCCTGGAAACCCAGGAGTTGTTGGTCTTCTTCTTTCCAGTAAAACTGTCTTAACTTCATATAAAATTTGGTGATAGTTGCTTACTTTCTTGCTGGCTCTTGTTGCTTTTCAGGAGATGTATGTGTTAAGTTTTCTTTACCATTTGTAATTTTCATCAGCAGATTTGGCACACCTAAGATTGGAACTGGGCTTAAAAATATAATTTAAATATCCTGTAGTGGTGCTAGATTTTGGAGTCTTCTCCTGGAGATGGTTTTGTTGGGGTACAATTATAGTGTAAGAACACATTTATTAAATATTGCAAACTTACAGGTATTTCATAGAGAGCAATTAGAAGTCTCTGATCAAGCTTCTGCTTCTACTGGATTGAATTGACTCTTGACAGTGTCTAAAGCCCAGCTGTATATCTCTGATAAGCACTGAGTCACAGTAGTTATCTCTCCCTTAAAGTACCCTGGGCTAGTCAAGGACACTTTTAACTATGCTCACTCTGTAAGGGCCCCCTCCCCTTGTTCCTGGAGGATTTCTATATTGTGATAAACAATTCCTTTGTTTCAACAAATCAAGACTAGCTTGTCTGTCAATATAAGACTCAATGCATGTAACCAATTACACAATATTTTGTCACTTGCTTTGTAGCTCCTACTTCTAAATTCTGTGTAAATGAAGCTCTCTGTAAACTCAGGCCTGTTGCCTTTGGGAACCATCTTGCGACAGTCTGCTGGCATAAAGATTCAACAGTCCACCAGCATGAAGATTAAATGCTGCCTTATTTCCTTGGTGGGAAGGGTCTTTATGTTTGAGTTGGGAATTTTCCTACAACAGTTTCTAGGTTATTTCTGTCCTGAGCAAAGACAAGTGCAAAACAAAGTATTATTGAAAACAGGAAAGGAAACATACTCTGCAGAGCAATTTGGGCCCAGTAAAAATAGGAAAAAGTACACTCCACAGTGTGAGAGTGAATCACCATGCAGGAGAGAACACTGGCAAGAGCTCATTGTTGGTTGTCTTTTTTGAATTTCCCAGTTCTTAGGCTGACATCAAGCTCAGGCCATCATATTGCAAACTTCTCATGAGAGGTCCATGTGCAGGGTTTTGGGAACTGTTCTGGGCCTGTACGCTAGGATTTTGTAATGAACAGGTCACAGGTGCTTTTCCAGCTAGTTTTAGCCACACCTTAGCCTCCTGCTTCCCTAGCATTCTGGGATATTGAATTAGGAAGACGGCTAGTTTGCCTCCACCCATGGAACTTAGTGAAACCCTGTCTCAAATTAAAAAAAAAGAGCTAGAGATATAGGTCAGCATGAAGGCCCAGAGTTCAATTCCCCAGAATCACCAAAAAAATCAAAACCAGTCAGAGGACAACTCCCCCCTCCAATTCTAGTCCAGATATTCGATGTGAATTCTGTTCTCTTTGTACTATACTGAACTACATCACACACACACACACACAGACACACATATAATTTTAATTTTCCCTGTACTGGGAATTGAGCTCAGGACCTTGTGCTTGCCAGTCAGATGCTTGTGTTCCTGAGTTGTATCCCCAGCTCATATTTATATTTGTGAGCACCTATAAGATCTCAGCTATGAGGACACAGTTCTGAAGTGCCTGGCATGTAGTAGATGTTCAAAAATATTTGTTGAATGAGTCAGTTGATGAATGATTTTTTTTTATTAAGGAAAAAAAGAAAAAAAGCAGAAATAGTGTACAAGTTATACAGACTTTCAGAAAAAATAAACAATAGGAAATCACTAGTTAATAGATTACATATTGTTATCTTAGAAATAGTTGTTAAAGTTACAAAATTAAAGCATATAAAGTGGACTTTCAAACAGTGAGACTGGAAATAGTTTTGTTCAATGACCCAACAAAACTCAGTAATATGGTTATCTATCTTATACACTTAAATATATATGTGGTTATATTCTTTAGAGCACTGTCTTTTCCTTTCTTTTGTACAATGACAATTACACATTTTGGGTTTTATTACTCCCACAGTTCTTATTACTTTTTTTTGAAGAGAGTAAGACCAAATGTGACATAACAGAGCAGAGTCAGTCAAATCAAAAGGATGAACATAATAGATGATGTAAAAACAAAATACTAGGTGATCAACAATGGTTACCATGCTGCCTCTTGCTATCTTAAAAAGAATTGCCTATATCATCAGTTATAATAAAATTAAACAAAACAGTAAAGAATAAAACCAAAACATTGGAGACATTACAGGGCTTTAAAAGAAGATAATAGTCAACCGGAAAGGGCGTCATAATGAATCTTATTGTCTTTACAGTTGTTGCCTATACTTTTGAACTTGGTACTATCAAGCAAAGCAAAATAGAGGAAAATCAGTCAAAGTAAGATGGTGAGGGCTATACAGGGTTTCAGATCAAGTTAATAGGAAATCAAAGTGGTACTTTCAATGATACTATAATACCATACTATAATAGTATGATACTATAATAATATATCCTGCTTTTTAAAATTTTTCCCTTAATTAAAAAGAAAAAAATAAAGTAAATAATTTAAAAAAAGGAGATGAGATAAAAGAGGGCATAACAACAAAATAGCGCAGGTCAAAGCATAACCATTTAAGCAAAATAGTGTTTCACCACAAGACATCCCGACATAAAAGTAATTACCATAATGTCTCTTTCCTTGAAGTCTTTGAGTATAACTTCGTATACTGTAGCACGAAACATATCAAGACAATGTAAAACCATTCAAGAGAATGACAGTATTACAGGGTATTTAGAACCAACTATCAGAAAATGAACAATGGTTTCTGTATAATCTCCTTGTCTATAAAAGTTTTTGCTTATATTATCACATATAATAAAATCCAATAAGATACAACCTGTTAAGACCGATGGAGACAGAAGAATAAAAGCTTGATGGGACTTCAAAGAAAGATGATACTAAATCAGCACTAGCTATTATGATGTCTTGTTCTCTCTAAAATAGCTATTCCTATCATCCAATCTTCTCTGCCTCATTTCTGTTGAGCTCTTTTTCTGTCATTTGTTGTCAGTTTGTCTTCTTCATTTCGCTTTCTGCTCCATTCATTGTGGCCTCTCTGCCACTGTTTCTGAAGTCTTAGTATTTTCCTTTTGTGGAATATCCCTCAGTATTCTCTGTAGAGTTGAACTGGTGGTTGCAAATTCCCCTAATTCCTCTATTCTGGAAGCATCTTATTTTTCCATCAATATCTAGGGACAGTTGTGCAGGATATATCAATCTTGGCTGGAGGTTATTATCTTTCAAAGCTTGAATTATTTCCCCCCATGCTCTTTGTGATTTGATGGTTTGTGCCAAGAAGTCTGCTATAATTCTGATGGGCGTTCCCTTGTAAGTGATCTGTTTCTTGTCTCTGATGGCTTTTAGTATTCTGTTCTTATACTGGACTTCTGGAATTTTGATTATTATATGCCTGGGTGTAGCTCTGTTTGGATTGTAGGTTGCTGGGGTCCTTTATGCCTCATACATCTGAGTATCTTTACCTTTTGTTAAATTAGGGAAATTCTCTTGGATTATTTCTTTGAATAGCTTTTTTAGTCCATTTGTTTGTGTCCCTACTTCTTCTTTTATGTTCTTAATTCTTAGGTTGTAGATCCTTTTATCATCTTCTAGTCTTTGTATTATTGCTGTTTGTTTTCTTGTTATTTTAAGAAGTTTTTCATTTCATGCTCCCACCTTACAAATCTGCCCTCCAATTCAGATAATCTATCCTTAGTTTCTTTCAAGCTGTTATGCCAGCTTTCAATAGAGTTTTTAGTTTCCTGGTAATCTCTTTGAACCTGCTTCACGTATTCTATGTTTTCTCTATTTTCTCCATCAAACAATTCTCCCCTTTTTTTCTGTTCTTCCATTCCACCATCTGTTTTTTCTTGGGCGGTGCTTAGCATTTCTCTAACTATTCTACTTATCTCTTGCTTTATTTCGTTAAATACTTCATTTTTAAACTCGTCTATGAGGCTCTGGAGATATCGCTTTATGTCTATTGGTGCCGTGTCTGATATTGCGTGTTTTCTGTCTTTTTTTGCATTTCCCTTTCCTGGATCAGTGTCCTCAGGATTGGGGATTAAGGACCCTTTCTTGTTCCTTCCTCTTCCCATACTTTTTGTTCCTTCCATACAAGCGAATGTAGGAGGCCCAATTTTTTTCTCTTTTTTCGGTTATGGTTTGTTTGAATTGCGCTGGTTAGGTGTTCCCGCCCACTGCAATGTACTAGGGAGACACAGACCTGGGCAGCCTCTGCTGGGCCTGACCCTCCAGGTTAACCTACCGAAGGCTTCACCGCTAGGGTGCACCTCCAGGCACTGGGACCTGTGTTGGACTTGCCTACTGTGTCTAAGTCAGTGGCGTCACACAGGCCAGGTACTCCCCACCAATCCCACTGGAGAGGGGAATATGTGACTGAAGTCACTGCAGCGCCCCATTCTGGCAAGTCGGCCCGGTACCAGTATGTCCTTTACTGGAGCCTCCTACTCTATGAAAGGGTCTCCGTTCCCCTCACTCACAGCAAATCGATGTAGGGCTCCCTGCTAGTCCTGCTCTCGACTCCGTTCGCAGATTCCCGCTCTCAGAGCTTTCGCGCATCTCTCTACCTGCCCTGCAGATTTGGATGCAGCAGCGGCAGCAGGAAAGTCAGATCGCGGCTTCCAGTGGTGCAGGTTCTAGCTTCCGCGCTCAGATTTTTTTTTTTGTCTTTTTCCTTTTTATCAGTGCCAGGGATCGAACTCACGACTGCCTGCTTGCAAGGCAGGTGCTTATGCCACTGAGCTAAATCCCCAGCTCCTCCACCCTGAGATTTTATCTGTTCCTGTTATAACGCCAGGATTGGATTTCCAATTGGTTTCTCTTAGCTTAGTTCATTCCTGGGTCAGCAGGGTGTATTTCCTCTTGCTTAGGACTCCTCGTACCACAACATTCCTGGATTCTAAGTGGGGTATCTCAGAGAGCCTCCATAGCTGCTGCTATCTATCTGCCATGTTCTTCTGGAAGTCCAGTTGATGAATGATTAAATGAGCCAAAGTTTCTAGCTTTGTGATGTGCTGGAAATACAATTTTCTAGGGGATGGAAACATGTAAATATTTTGATTGAAATTTTCTCTGTGGTACTGGGGGTTAAACCCAGGGCCTTGTGCATGTAAGGCAAGAACTCTACCACTGAACTACATCTACAATCCACTGAGCCACATATCCAGCTCTTGATTAAAATTTGATAGTGGTGACAATAGAGATAATGAGTTGAGTGTTACAAGAGCACAGAATAAAGAATTGTTTTCAGTAATTTAGCAGGCAGTAATGGAAGATGAGTTTGGAGAGATAGGCAGGATCTAGATCCCAAAGGACCTTGTTAACTCTGTATCTGTTACACTGAGTAATTACTTTATGCCAAAAAATGGTTGAAATGCTTTTCACCAGTTGACTTAATAGTGACAGCATTCTGCAGGATAAATACGAGTGTGAAATACATGTTATACTTCAGAAAACTGAGACCCAGAGCCTACCAACATGGTCATAATCTCATGAGCTAGTAGAGGGCATACCTCATTTTTGTACTAGTAGATTTGACTGTGGAGTTCATACCCTTAAGCACAATGTTTTGCTTTTTCTGCTGTCGATAATTATCATGGACAGTCTACCACACCAAGCAGTGCAAATCCTCTAGCTGCATTTCATTTCTTTACTAGGTTACACTGTGATTTGTTTAACTCAATTGATGGACATTTTTTA